CAGTTGAAAACCACTCCTTGTCCTGTCACTATCCACCCCATAAACAGGGTGGTAAAATAATCATATTTAACACCCAGGCCAGCATGTGCTGCAGGCTGCTGAGGAGCATGGGGTAACAGCAGCAGGGCTGGAACCACCACCTGAAATTAGCAGTACTCCTATCTTTCTCCTCCCCATTGAGAAGAACAAGGCATCTCAGAGGCTGGCAGAGACCTGCCTCTGTTGCCTTTACATTCCCTCATGGTTCTTCATTGCTTTGCTGCAAGGTCCTCTTCATAAAGAGTGATCTCTGAGGGAGTTAAGAGCAATTACATCAAGAGGATTTCAATATTTGGGTAGAGGCACTGAAGTGGGCTTTAATTACCAGGAAGAGAAGAAAATGCTTGGTATGTTGTAGGCACTTTGTGTTCTGGAATATCACATTTTGCACTAACCGGAGCATTTACTTCAGGACATATAGCTTCACTTATAATCATTGATATATTCAAACATCCCCTTGTTCTGAGTGAAGAATCCTGCCTGTTTTGATCTCTCTCTCATGCATAGGAAATGGACTGTGAAATGATGAGACCTTCCACAGAAGGAAGTGGCAGCCTGACTACCTTGCCCGCATTATGCTGACTTAGTGGAGTGTGAAATGAAACCAAATGGCAGATATCATAACAAGCAAATCAGGTTCTGTTCAATAGCACAGAATGAAATTAGCATCTGGTGTAGGATTAAAATAATAGGACAGCTTACAGTTTAGTACAAGGAAAAATGGTGGGAAAAATCTTCCTGCCAGAAATATCTTTATTAATATTATCCTCGGTTGGTTTGCACCTGATTGCTTTGCCTTCCTTGTATTTCCATCCCTGCCATATAACTGCTTTCTTGTTTTGTGCTGTTACATCATTTTACTATAAGGTGGCTCATGCAGTTTCTATTCAGGGGTTGCTGGGCCCAGTCCTGCCTGCAGTGAGGTCAGCACCACGTTGGCTGCAAGAGTAGCTAGCAGAAAGCTGAAGCCTTGGAGTTTTCCCAGAAAAACCTGCATGCTTCATCGTTCTGAGCGTGGTGGCTCTCGAAGGCTGTCTGTGGTTCTGAGCAGCAGTGTGCCCGTGCACAGTGAAACTCTGGCCCAGCCGACTGACAGAAGCTTTGTTTGGCTCATAGTAAGTTCTGTGGAAAGCCAGTACGTTCAGTACCGGCAGCTTCCAGCCTCTGACAAATGCCCACTGTATCTTGTTTATCATGAGTAAGTTATTTGCGCGGTGTTAAAGGTAGCAGCATGTGTGTGCTAGCAGGGTGTCAGTAGTGTGAGATCCATCTCCTGTGGTCAGCTGTTGTCCTCTAACAATAGAGGCCCGAATGGTTGTGACTGTGATGCAGAAAAAATGCCTTTCCTTTTGCTTAGAGAAAGAAACTATTTTGCATTTGGCATGATTTTGGGATCTGCTGACGGCTGTCAAGCTGATCCTGTTCTCCTGAGACACTCTTTCCATTTTCCACTGGATTTGAACATGAGGACTGGGATGTTTATGTACAGCATTACATTTTACTGCATGTTTGATGTCACTAATTTCAACAAGGTGCTGTCACATACAGAACACAGGTCTGCAGCACATTCTGAGTTCTTATTTAGGATTTGGTTCATAAATTCATGCCTCACTTCAGGTAGATTGGCTTTTCTATGGCCTTCATTCACCATACATGCTAGATAACCAGTGTGTGCTTAATCCTGTGTGAATCCTTCAGCTAGTTGGATGAGATGTCTCTAATCAGACTTTTCTTAATCCAAAGACCTGCAAAAGGCAATGGATGTCAGAAGCAAAGTGTTTGGTGCTTAATGAAGCACTGGGAATCCCAATGATTCTGATCTGCAGGGTGGAGGAGCACAGTTTATGAAGAAAAGACAAAAAGAATACCAAGGACGTGCAGAAGTCACTGCTTTATTCCAGTTGTTTTTAGGAGTTCACTGAGGTTCTCTTCCTGCAGCTCCACTTTTGGAGCTGTGCAGCAGCACGGGGATGTGCTGAGATCTGGGCACCTGCATGAAGAACGGCATTGCCCAGCACAGCCTGGCAGCAGAGTGCTTCAGCTGGGGCTGTTACTGGGGGCATGATGGCCGCAGCCTTACCACAATCACTTTCTATCTACACTGCATGAAAGCTGCACTTCACTCTCACTCGGAGCAGATGGCGGCGTTTCTGAGTTGCTGCATTTCTGGAGGAGGTGGTGATGGGAAACCAAACCATTAAACGCTGCTGGGCCAACAAACTGCTGAGTCAAGACTGGGGCAATCACGTGGAATGCCAAAAAAAGAAACCTTTGTGCTGAGGTGAAGGGATCAGAGCCCAGGCTGCAGCAGGCGGCTGCAGAATTTCCTGCAAGAGCCCATTGAGATCTCACACTGAGACACAGCTGGAAAAACACGTTCCCAGCCTGCAGGCAGAAGCAAAGGTAGGGAGGCGGCGCTGGGCCACGGGCGTGTTATACAAGCATGCTCACGATGCCATTTTAACTATTTGCTGGCTGGGATATTCTGCCTGTAAGCAGACTGCTGTAAGCAAGCAGCATGGATCAGCAGGTCCCCGGTCATCCCACTGCCAGCAGCCCTGTGAGTTGTGAGCGATGCAGATGATGGTTTGGGTTATCCGGTGATGTTCAGGAGCAGCCCAGCTGCTGTGGGACACGATGTGTGTTGCAGAGATGGACAGTCAGGCAGCTGGGCTAACAAGCAGCAGCAGATGAGACTTGTGCATTCTGTGAGTTATGCCAAATTGCCTGAGTTAGATTGTTCCACAGGGAAAAAAGGACAACTGTTTTTCAGTGGGTGGGCTGACAACTCAGTGCATTCTGTAGGCTTGTAGCAGCATGGCAGAAAAATATCAGTAATCAGAAATTTGTATTTTTAGCTACATACAGGCTGACTTCTTGGGGATAAATGTCAGCTTTGGAGCAGCAATTGCTTTGTGAAGGTGCTCAGCTCCGTATACCGGGCACCTCCTGCTTCTGCTCTTATGAAAGTAACTTACTGACAGTAACTTGTTTAGAGAAACTTTGGCAGGAAGCTTCATGCTTGAGCAGAAAGCTGCATCTAAAAGCACAGGGGTGGAAGGGAAATTGCATGATATAGCCATTATCTTATTAGGATGTTCTACTGCAGGGCTGCAGTGCTCCCCAGCACACCAGCACGACCCCTCTGCAGGCAGCCCCCAGTCACATGCCGCATCCAGCCCTTAGCCAGTGCCTCTCTCTGCCTTGTCCTGAGCAGAACTTGTGTAGGCTACAGCAGCTATCCTGCTTGGGTTGGTCTGCCATGTGCTATTGATGATCCCATGGAGCTGGGACCTCAGGAATAAGAAGCAAGGAAGAAGAGGCAGTGCAGCACAAGCCCATGCTCCCGGAACAGGCTGGCTGCAGCCTACAGGCAGGCCTGGCCCTGCTCCACATGGGCTGTGTTGTCTGATGAAGCAGAACTGCTAGACTCGTGGTTTTGAAAGGACAGCTTTTCATGGTAAAAGATTACTTAACTGTTTTTACACTGAAATACTTCATGGCATTTCTCTTTTCCTCCAGCTCTAAAACAGAGGAGCTTCAAGCTGACAAACAGCCCCGATTTAAGGAGTTAAGCTGAAGAGCTCTCATCACTGAAAGCACATCTGCTGCATGCCAGCTACTTTCTCTAAGTGTAAGAGGGCTTTAGTTATGGCGCTGCCATTCACTACTTGACTGTAGAAAGACAGCTTTAAAAGTTTCTGCTTTTGTGGGTATCTTAATGCCTGTGGGAGACAAGCAGCAGCAGGACAAGTTCCAGTAGATACTTGAAAGCCAATCTTCTATCAGGCATCAGTTACTTAAACAGGAAAAATAACTGCTCCCCTGCAGGTAGACCCATTGCTCCTTTCCCCAGTTCTTTCCATGTTTGCATTATTGCCCTCTGCACAGAATTCATCTCCCTTACATCCAGAGCAGAAAAAAAGAAAAAAACAGAAGATCTTAAATCGATTACTTGATTGGCACCAGTTTCCCTTGAAATCAAGAGATTACTTTATGAAATGCAATACACCTTACAGTAACAGAAATCAGGAGTATTTTCTCCAACTATTCACTCAGTAGGATTAAAAAAATAATAATACAAAATTCTGCAGGGTTATGGAAAACACAGAAAGTCAGAAACGTTCTCTTGAAGTAGGAACTGTTAGCGGAAAGTATCCCACGCTCCTGCCTCCAGGCTGCAGCAAACAGAACACCCGAGCAGCACCAGCAGAAGCCGCCTGCTGTGCCCCCTGTGAAGCACTGCCCACCCGGGGAACGTTTCAGGATCTCCCTGCATAGAATCACAGAATCGCTCAGGTTGGAAAAGACCTGAAAGATCACTGAGTCCAACCCAGGCTGAGCGCACTGCCGCAGCGCAGCGTCTTTGGCACAGCTGGCGGGAGGAATCGCCGCTTCCTCTCCTGCAGTTCCCTGTGCTTTCAAACCCTTTCTCTGGAAGCAAAGAATAGAAATAATTCAGGAATGGAAGCTGCTTACAAAACTGAAGGGATTTTAATGACTGAATGCAAAAGGAACTACTGGGATTCAGGCAGCAAACAGGTAATTTGCTAGCGGAGCAGAAGGTGAAGATTTTAAAGAAGCCACAAACATGAGAAGCCCAACATACAGCAGTTTGAGGAAAAAGGCATTTTACACCAGAGTTTATCAACACAAAACTGTTTAATATTTATTAAATGACACAAAATACCTAGATAACAGACTCACTCTCTGAAAGGACATGTATTTACATTATTTACCAACTTTAAGAAAGACTCTCTGTACCCATATCAGACTTGTTATGAAACATTAAAAAGGTTTTGCTGCTTTTTGCATCAACGGATGCAATGGTGACACATGCCCTGTTTGCAAGTCTGCATAAACTCTCACTTTTTGATGCAGTGAAAAAGCACAATTCTATATTCCTGTAGCCGAGTGAAGAGGCTGCTGAGAATAACAGGGTTAGTTGTTTTCTTCTTCCCACTCCAGACGTACTCTGAAGAATTGTTATACAAAAAGTATATTACATTTTTGAATGCTGCTGTACTCTTACAATTTTAGTGTAACTTTCCAAAGAAAATATTCTTCCTACTGTATGAAATCACTAAAAACAACCCAACAAAGTGGTATTTGGACATGTATTTAGATGCACTGTTTAAAGAAAAAAAAAAAAAAAAAGAAAGCATTAGGGCAAATGATATGCTTAGGAAAAAATCAACCAGCTGACTGATAAGAAAAGAGCAGAGACCAAAATAGGAAGCACAGCTAAAGCAACTTAATTTGCTAGGGTTTTTTTTGTTTTTTTTTTTTTTTCCTTTTTATTAACTATTTACTTTGGCACCTTTGTGTAAACTATAGAACAAAACAATGTTTACAACACATTTGCAATTACAGCATTTAAACAAAATGGTCACTTTTTAAACCAGCCAAGACAAAAAAATATTCCATTTACGGGTATAAAGATTAAAAAACTTAAAATATATATTTCTAAGAATAAACTGCAATTTCTTATGAACAAGGTGCTATAAACTGCATGCAAGAGTCAAGATTAAAAATGTGTGGCCAAACAGACGAGCTGTGTTATAGCCAAATGAGCAGTGGTCCAAGCCCACTCGTTTTTTCATCCAGAGATGCATATGGCTCAATAGGCAGGCACGTGATCCCAGCAAGAGGTTGCAGAGTTGTACAGCCAGTCAGTAAACGTTGGCTGCAGCTTTGTCATGAATGAGGAACAAGCGAGACCTCAGCAGAAGAGATGAGCAAGTGCTCAGGGAAAAGCCATGAAGAATGAGAAGCCTTCTGCCCTCCCTCCTGCTCCTCCACTCAGCCCAGTCAGCGTTCTCAGTGCTGCTGTTGGGTTGCTTTAACTGCACTGCTGCTCGGGGTGCCTCAGATCACTGAAGTCTTATGAGAGCTGAGGACGTTTTTAAAGTAATAATTTCTGCGTTTAAGTGACTGAAGCGGATGGGATAAGAATTGAATAGGCCTTGCACCTGTCTGCTCAGTCTGACTGATTGCAGCAAGCTTACCTGATGAGGGAGGATTTCACCAGAATAGGTATTTCTGATGTGCAATGGTGTTTGATTGATTTGCTACAACCAAGTGAAGGGAACCAGTTTGACAGCAATTTTTAAAGTCTTCTGTCTCCCAAAGAGTTTATGTTTCTTCTCCAAAACACCATTTTAAAAGGAATCTTTTATTGGCTAAAAATACAAAACACATACAAGAAAAAGGAACGTTGAATGGAAAACACAGAAGGGTTGTTCTTTTGTTTGTTTGTTTGTTTGGTGCGGGGGAGGAGAGCATTTTCTCCCCAGAGGATTGCCATTTGAAATAAGACTTGGCTCTGTTCGCAGAGCAATCTTTGAGTTCTTTACCAAATAATTCTATTAATGTTTTTTTTTTTTTACAGAGGCAATTGTGGCCCTGGATGCCTACCAGTAGTTATGCTGTAACAGTGTCAAAGGTTAAGGCAGATTTTCTGCAGATCACGTAAAGAACTGTATTACAGTTACTAGAGGGTGACTGTAAGTAATTCAGTAGGAGAAAAAAAACCACCTGCTCCATCTGTCAACTGAGGACTGCGTACAAAAGAAGCCTGAGAAAACACACAGCTGAAGAAAACACAGAATTAAACCATGGACCAAAAAAGCAGTAAGGATGGGACACGTCAGATACAACACACGCACACCCTCTCTCACATGTAGGCCCCTGAAAGTGGGATCACAGTGATAAAAGTTAGAGATCACAGAGCGCTAAGTTACACTGTCACTGAAAAGAAAGTAACATCTTGCTTACAGGAAATGTCTGCTATTCCCCAGGACTGTTAGTGCCTGAACAAAGATGAGGTTTTTCATTGTGCTCTGCAACACAGCTGATTGTAGGTCTAAAGCTTGGCTGTAAGGAAGAACTGTTACGTAGAGGAGTTACCTTTTCTGTTGACATTTTTCACCCCACGTATTCCTGTCGTACTGCTATAGCAATAAAAAACACAACCTGTTGAAAAAAAGCTCTACATTCAAGTGACTTATTCTCTCGTGTCTTATCCAGATGTAAAGAATGCTCTCTGGTCACCTAAGACGACGTTTTAGATGCCTTACAGCAATACTTAACTATCTTTCTGTATGAGAGGTAGGCTTCTGGGTTTCTCGGAGGCCTGCCACATCTAGGGCTGAGTTCTTAAAGCTTTAAGTTAAAGCAATCCACAGCAGGGCAGTCTCCTATGTGCCCTGTCTAAACCTTGAGGTTTGTTCAAGTTCAGAATGTTGCAAAACAAAACAAGTATTAAAATTAATTTGTAGCTTTTGTTCTTATAGCTTTACCACAAGAACAGTGTGGCTTTTCATAAATACCTTTAAATAGATTCTCTTTTGTAGAGTATTGCTGCCAAGAGGTGAAGGCCTCCTACCCATGTCCAGTAAGAACTGTCACTTTTGTTTCCATTATGGCTGTTTTATGTTAAAATTCCCAAAGGTGAACACTAAAGTCTTACAGGCAAGCCATACAAATACAAATCTGAACTTGTTTCGTTGTAGCAGTTATTTAAGAATGATATTTGTATACATATGTCCACGCTACAAACTTGTATAAATCATTTTATATTGGTACCATTTTGTCTCAACTGCAACCAAGAACAGATTCCACTAGATCAGCAATAAGCGTAGCTCGGCTTATTCCCCATCTCCCCTCCCCTTGAGAAAAACCCTCGTGTGGGTATCATCCAAACCAATGGTATGTTGCTAACTGAAATACATTCTGTACAGTAAATTAAAAGTTTGCATGCAGTTTAAGCATTTTAAAGGCTATTTTCTTATATTAACCTTCTGTTTCCATTTAAAGGTGTGAAAGACATCTGTCATATCAAGGGACTCTCCTCTTCAGACCCAGAGTCAAATGGAATTACGAAGACCAGATACTTTCTTGCAGCTTCCTGCACATCTTACTAAATAACATGCAAAGAGTTCAACAGCATTCTTCTTAAAATGTAAATAGTACTCTTTAAATGGGCATGTTAACCACTGAAAGAAGTCCACTCTACTATTCTCCTCCATTACACTGCTTTCATTCAGTCATCGGTAGTATAAAAAGTCAATTAACGGGATTAACAGGCTAGTTTATCCACTGGCAATTGCGTATGACACCGAGTGTGCAGTAAAACAAAGGCCAACATATGTTTATGCAATATAGTTGTACTGATTTGGGTTTTCTTTATCTCTTTCCATGTAGTCTCTGTCAATTAAGGATTCTATTCTCTTCTTAAGGTCAGCAGGCTGTAAATTAAAGCAGACATCAGCATTATTATTTTGTAGTCAGTGCTTCTCAATTCTACCTAAGCCAAACACCCATACTGTTTGAGATGACTGATGAAACATCTCCCAACACAAAGCTGCTGAAGTTTGCAATGTGCAATTAAAGAGAAAGCTACAGGATTAGCTAGGATGCACCACATAGCTGAGCTCAGATGTTATCAGAGACTCATAGAATCTACGTTATCTAAGTTTTATGTCACTGTCTTCTGGAAAATCAGTTTGCACTCATACACAGTAAGCTATTCTTTCCCACATTGCATCTGTGGGCCACTTTAACTTTGAGACACCAGCATGTAATTTCCATTCCATAGTTTTTTTTATATAACACAATCTGTCTGGAAAAAAACACTGTACATTTAGTGGCTACTGATTAATAATATGATGTTTGCCAGATTAAGCCAAGGATCAAAATGATTCCTGCGTGTCTGAACCGGTTGTCCCGATTCTCTCAAGACTGCACTGCCACAACACTTGAGAAACAGAACATCAACATGCAAACAGCTTGGCTTCACCATCATACTAACAAACTCCCAGTTCTCAAAACCTTTACCATGTTGTACTAATTTAGAGGTAACATTCACATGAACTAATGAAACTGGCACCTAAAAAAACCCTGAAATAACCTATTTTTTGCTCCTCCTATCAGGAAAGAAGAAACACGTTTCGGATAGAAGCACCGTTTAACTGAGGACAGGTGAAAGGACAAAGAGAACAAATTTTAAAGACGAAAGGAATCAGTACTGCACCTTTACTGGGAATTTAAGCTGGTTGTAGACCTCTGACACAAGCAAGTTATGACTCAGTGTTTTTCGCATCTTCATAATTCGCACGATGGCCGCATCGATCTGGTACTGCCGGTCCTGGAACACCCTCTCTGTAGTGCTTGCCTGCTCCTCTACCTGATGGATCCATTTAGGAAGAGTTTTAAAGAGAACACAACTGTTGAATACATTCTTCTTCATATCTAAGACGAGTCTTATTGTGAGACTCTAAGATGTCTACTGTGAAGTACTGGACATAAATCCTACAAAATATGCAAGTCCACTGTCGTAAGAACTCGTGCTGGGAGTAAAATCTTTGCACTGATTTTACCTTAGCTGGAGAATTCACAGTGGATCTGTTCACAAATCAGGAAAGCTCTAGGGAACGATTGAGGTGAACAGAGCATTCACTACTTGGAACCTCTGCTGATCAACTTTAGATTGATCAACTTTAGATTTCTAAGTTAGCACAGAAGCTCGTGTTTAAACGTCCACTGTTAAGTTTGTGCTATCATCCAAAATATACGTGCATCCTTCACACAGATACCATTATGGACATTACAACTGAGAGGAATAAAGCTTATAAATGGGCAAGCAACAAGACACTTAGCCCAAGAATGAAATACCTACATTATTAGGAAAAACAACAAGAAATATACCGTTTCTTTCATCTGAATTTGGTTGATTTTTATCCTGAACAGCTTATGTCTGAAATCATCATTGCATGTGAACTTATCACCATCTTCCACGTCTTTTCCTTTGGGGCTCTTAGTCAGTACTCTAGCTTTGCCACAAGCCAGAGATTGAAGTGTCCTTCTCAGCTCTCCATCCTCTAAAGCAGAAACAAGTTGGTTAGTATTTTCACTCAAGAACACACTCGAAGCAGTCAGTGTTTTTAGTACCAACCTATCCCAGTGGCTTGCTTTATCTCCTCTAGACTGAACTCCTCTCCTTCATTAAACATGAGCAGCACTAGTGTCTGGAACAAGGAGACCTGAAGCTCTTTTTTGCCCTATCACAAAGGAAATAACAGACATCATTAGGCTGTTTTAGGGGGATCAACTCATTCCTCTACGGCAATTATTTCTCTTATAGGATGCAGTTGCCTCATTCATTTTAGAATATGAAAGAATAAAAGTTATTGATCTCCTCGTGTTTACTGTGAAATGCAGAGCAAGACAGAGGTCAGATTAGACTAGCACACCCACTGAAAATTTGCTAATGTATGCAACTTCAGACAAATTCAAATCCAAAGTGTGCTTAAAATTACAATCTGAAAGACCTTTAATCCAAAATGTAAGACAAGTATTAGTTCAAAAACACAGTTGCAATTACTAGCTTGGATAATACTTGTTTCATCATTATCATTATGAAAAATAAAACTGAGTAAACATTCCCAGCTCTCAAGGGAAATCTTCCTGAGATATATTCACACCCACAGAGATGATAAAGGGAAATAGTTGGAAGCTCTCTAAAAACTGCTATGTTCTTCCAAAACTTGTTTTTAATGAAAAGGCTTCTTTGCCATCGGAGAACAAAAACATCTCTAGACATTCCTAAGGTACACCCATATTTGGATCTGGCAAAGCCAGGAAAATAAGAAAAACAAGAGACTCACCTCTTTAAATTCTGCTTTCAGCACACAGTGTCCTAGAGTTGACTGCCACTGAAGCTTCCTACCACTGTGTTTTCCTAAGTAAAAGGTTTTGAAAATCTCCTGCAGTTTTACCATCTAAAAAATAGGAAAAAAAAAAAAAAAAGCCGTGATACCAAACAATTTCTACTTTAAAAGCTCTGCAATCAAGTAAGACAAGTTGCAGATGAAGCCAAGGTGCACTTCTGTTAGGTTGCTACTTGGCATAGTGGGTGCATGTTCATTACCTCTGGGGGCAGGTGGACCTCCATAGGCACGTAGGTTGGCCAGTAACCCATAGTCAAGATATTCACTGTTAGTTCAATATTGCCAGGTACATTCTGATTTTGCATATACTGCAGAAAGAAACACGTTGAGAGAAAACAGTATTGGTGACACGTGTTTTCAGCAGGACTGAAAAGCTAGCCAGAGAGCATAAGGAGAGCACAGAAGGCAATAACCCTGTGGTATCTTTGCTGCATAAAATGCAGGTTATGTAGAGGAAAAGTAGAATATAAAAAAGCACTTTTCTGATATTCTAAAGGTGCTTTACAGGAAGATAATAACAAGAGTGCTTTAGGAAGCTGATGTGAAGATGCACCTACTTATATGTGAATTGAGGAAACTAAGTTGACCTTTGCTTATAATCAAAACAGTACAGAACTGCCCTAAGTAATGGCTAAAAGGATTGGCCTGGAGGCATTGTTACCTGCTTAAATGACTGAACTTATGAGGCAGTCCCATCAGCATACAGTGCTATTAACTAGCACTAAAATGTTTTTAATTTTACAGTTCTTCTTCTATTACATTTCTTTTCCCTGTTCTTTTTTTCCCCTTTTTAAAACTACTTCTTCCAATTCATTTCCTGCTTTGTTGATCAAGAGAACCACCAACAAATTCAGCAACGTTTTCAAAAAGTACAGAAACAAATTAAGAAATCCACTCCCACTGAGTTTCAGTAGGCACTGCTTTCCCTGCCAGATATTTGGGCACTCCCTTAGAAAGCAATCACTTATAGGTAAGTAATATAGGAATAATCCAAAAGGAGTTTAACTCAAATTACAATAGAAATGTTTACAATTAAAGACATTCTGTATCTCTTACTAGACTTTCTGAGAACACCTCACTCAAAAAACAAGTAAATGAAGGAGCCATGGCAGGCTTCTCAGCAGTACCTGTTTAAATTGTATCATTATGTCTTTTGAAAGCTCCATATCTTTAAACATTCCTTCAAGTTTGCTCGTGAAAGCAGCTCCACATTCTATATTTGAAAAAAAAAAAAAAACAAAAAAAAACCAAGAGAAATCCATTCATAAAAAGAACTTTTATCAAATACTGCAGAGCAGCTACTCTACGTATAAGAATGTATACTGAGGCAGGATGACCTATTTCATCAAGTGTTCTTAAATAAAGATCTGGATATCATTAAGATAATAACAAACAACAGGGGGGGATGTTTCAGTTACTTAGTTACTTTGCAACCAGACTTTTTTCCCCACATGGAAAACAGACCATTCCCCCTCCAACTGCACTGGCAATTTGTCACTCAGGCTTTTATTCCAGCCTTCATGAGCTTCCTGCCAAACTCTCCCAATGGTGGAACAACTCTCCGAGTTGTAAAAGTCCTGCTGCTACCCCCCACAGACTCCATTCTAAAGCAATGAAGACCAGAGTACAGAACTGCCAGCCCACAGCTTCATCTTACTGAGCTCACATGGAGGAAATAACCAGAGGCCATCCTCAAGCTTGAACACATCACTGATAAGCTCTGCATGGAATCTCAACTCTTAACACACAGGCCAAAATACAGAACGAGCTTCAAACTGTTGGGTTTTGGCTATTACTGTCACAGTTACAAAATTTAAAGCAAATGATTCTCCTCAAAAAACACCAAAAGATCTTTGCTGCCATATAGAGGGAAATCTAAACAGTATTTCTGAGTAGTCCCATTAGAGTGACTATTTTCAAATATGGCTGAAAGAACCATAGGTATTTACCATGTTTGAGTTTGGAAAGCATAGATTTTTCAGCATCTACTGAAGCACTCTTCCCAACTAATAGTCTCTTTGCTAGATCTTTTTTATAGAAGGCCTCAAACACATCTTTTCCTGTAAGAGATGAGATTTGACAGTGATCACAAAACATTGGAAGCTTTTATATAAACATTTTTTTACTATTAAGGGGCTTTAATGCTCAATAAAACCAACGAGGACCTTGATGTTGACATTTCAATAGGTTTGGAGACAGATCTCATAACGGGAATTTTAACTCATTAAACAGCAGTACACTGAAAAATGCAGAAAGACTGCAAAAGTGAATCCAGTGTACCTTTACGTTGCTGATTAAAGAACACTTACCATATATGAATCTAAATATGATCATAATTTTATCCAGCATTTTTTCAAGTTCTTCATCAGTAGCTTCTTTGTTGCCTGCCCGAAGCTTTGAATCTACATATTTAGCTAAAAGAACATTAAAGAATAAGTTTAGCACACGCCCAGCATCACAATGAAGCAGTACCTTAATGTTTTTCTGCTTTTATATCTAATATCATTAAATCTTTTGGAAATTAAAGGATCTTGAGGTTGCTTTAATCACAGCTAGTTACAAATCTCTTTTCAGATAAGCAGTTGTTGCATCTTAACTTTAGTACAGTTAAATAAAATTTTGGTGTATGTGTGAAATTCTGGTCTGTATTACAATCTTGGTGCACAAAGCCAACACTGCTGTAAGTTAACATGGCTGCATTAGTAAAGATCATGATAAAGAAAAGAAATATGTAAACTAGTATTTCAATGTACTGCCTATGCCACCCAATTTCTCTAACAGATTGCAGTCTAGCTTCCAATTGTTGGTAAGCAGGTGAAAAAGAAGGGCAGAAAGCATCATGCCACAAGCCTGGGAGCACAACAGGCAGCAAAGCCAGTGTTAGGCACCATCCAGGCAAACCATTAAGGTATTTCCAGTTGCAGAGAGCTAGACACATAACAGAAAGATGTAAGCAGCCTGCTTTGTAAGCTGCAGAGGCTCTGTTACCAAGGAGATGAGTACAGTGCAATGCCACTTCTCTCCACTTTTATAAAAACATGAAGACAAATACCTACATGGAGCCCCAACTGCCCTGTGCACGTGGTAACTGCACAGTTATGTAAGGTTCTGAAAGTCAAAAATACTGGTATTCTCAAAACTGGAAGCCAGTCAATTGCTGGGATGCCTAAGTGCTAAGAGCTTTCACTTTTTTAACCGTAACCTCTGCAAGAATCCACCAGCATAACAAAGCACAAGAGATCCCACAGTCTGAGGATGCATTGTGTTAAGGCACAGCACAACAATTCCATCACATCACATCTCCTTAAGCTGCACTGGCAACTCTCTCCCATCGCTCCCACCAAATTCTCACATGGGAAGAGATAGAAACAAAGTACCTATGAGTTCAGCTGGCTTATTTGGTCTTTTGTTAATGAATGTTTCAAAGGCTTCTTTCATGGCGTTTACAAACTTCTCATTCTTGAGAAAGCAAACATCAATAATATGGTCAACCTTGTCTTTAAAATCAAGCAGTTCTTGGACCATGGTTTTGTCTTTTTCTGGATTAATTACTATGGTGCTACCAAATGCCTGCAAAATAAAACATTTTTCAATTAGCCTGAATAATGAATGTAAATGACAACATTCCTAAAGCCTAAGTTATCTCTGTAATACTTTGGTTTTGATATTCAAGTTAAGTTGCACTACCACAACAGAAGAAACAGCATTATAAATGAATTGCTACATAATCATTCTCAGAACTTGTATGTCGACTCAAAACCAGATTAACAAATACAGAACTTTTTTCTGACAGTAAATTTTAAGAGGGTGATGAGAGAAGTGTTTTGTCAGTATCAAAAAGCACGTGGCAAAACATAGTTGTCTTCCACAATCAGCTGTAAACAAAATAACTCCTAATTTGTTCACAATTTGGCAATTAAACAGTTGATGTTTTCTTCAAGGTGACTCGAACAGTTACCGTTCTTTACCCAGTAGAATTTGAAAGGCCATACATT